ATGGTCTGCACTGGGGCCATCTGGCAGCATGTATTAAAAATAGCTGTTACTGGACTCTGTCTCCAGAACTGCTAAGTCAGAAAAACCACATCTTATTTATTTATTTTTTTGGTGGGACTGGGGTTTGAACTCTGGGCTTCATGCTTGCTAAGTAAGGTGCTCTCCCATTTGAGCTACTCCATATTTTAAACCACATTTTAAACAAGATTCTCAGACAGTTGTTGGCACACTCGGATTTGAGGAGCTACTGTAATCAGTGAGGAAGTGGTGGGAGCATACCCCGGAGAATGTATGTGGCTTTCGCTACTGTAAATTTAGGTGCAATACAGAGCCAGGCTGACGGTGCATGTCTGTAATACCAGCACTCAGGAGACAGACTAGAGAATTGCTGGTTTGAGGTCAGCCTTGGCTGCTTAGTGAGACCCTGTCTCAAAAAACCCCCCAAAATTAAAAAGGCTAGGGTGTTGAGTCTGTGGTAGAACACCTGTGCAAGACCCTGGAGTTGATACCCAGCACCAAAAGTGAAAAGAAGGTACCTTGACAGACTGTGCCAATTAGAGCCACACGGGATCCAGTCTCAGAAACTCGCCTTAAGCAGCAAGCAAGGAAACCAAAAGTCACCAAAACTGAGGGACAGCCTGGACCCCAGCTGATACATAGAACAGAGAGAAGTGGGTTAGAGAAGAAGGGACATTGTAGAGGACACCTGCTATAGATGTCTGTCTGTTTTTTTTTTTTTTTTGAGATAGGGTCTCACTGTTTGCCTTGGACTACAGTCCTCCTATTTATGCTTCCTGAAGTAGTTGGGGTGGCAGGTACACCCCACCATGCCCAGCCTTTTCTGTTGAGATGGGGTCTTGAGAACTCTGCCCAGACTGGCTTCAAACTGCACCCTTCTGATCTCTGCCTCCTGAGTAGCTAGGGTTATCATTGCCCCGCTCCATCATCTTTTCTTAACAGCTCCTGGTCTCTTTGTCATTGGGTGCAGAGCAGTGGGTTCACAGTCCATTACCCACCTCCCTTTTTGAGCTAGGCTGAGCAGAAACTCCCTCCTTGAATTTGAGCAGAGTGACAAAGATGCTAGAATAGTTGTGGTTCCATTCCGTCTGTCCAGGTGGCTTGGCTGTGGTCCCTGCTTCCTGTTCTCTGAGCTGCCTTAATTTCTGCCAATTTCCAAGTCCCTTTCTCTGGCCCATGGAGCACATGAACACAGGATCCATCGATCGTTGGGAGAAGGGGAGAAAAGGAGTCAGTGACAGCTTTAAAGTATAAACAATTAGCTCCTGGGAGAGTGGAGTATTAGTGACAGAAATCGGTCTCTGGTTTGTGGAGGAAGATTATAAGTTGAGTGTAAATTTTAGAGACTGTAAGATGCTGTGGGACTAGCTAAGGAATTGTTAAGTTTTGTTGGCTGTGATAGTGTTATTGTGCTTATGTTAAACAAAGTCTTTGTTAGAGATACCCACTGAAGGGTTCATGGATGGAACAATGTAATGTCTGGGATTTGCTTTAAAAAGTCCCACACAGACAAGAAATTGCTAGGAATAAATGAGACAAACCTCAGAGCATGTCACCTTCCCCCAGGCCACGTGCTGACTCTGGGCCTCAGTTCTATAAATGGCTCCATCAGCCAGAAATTAGGGTCTGACCCAGGCTTTGCTTCTCCTTCTGCCTCCAGCTGGTCACCTTGCCCAAGGCTTTGCAGGCCTAGCAGAGCTGTGGGTGTGGAGGGCAAAGCCCAGGCTGCCCCTGCCACATCCAGCTGCCAGCTGGTGAGATTTCTGAATCATTACAGCCCTAGGGCTCAGCCAGATTAGCTGTTTACTAAGTACCTGTGGATTTGAGCCCTGATCCTGTTGGTGGAGCCCATTGCAGTAGCAGCTGAAGCAATGAGTCAGTGGGGACTTGCAGAAAAGATAGTTACGTGTCTGCCATTCTTATAAATGGATTAGATCCAGTCTTTTAGAGAACAGCCTGGAAATACATAATGAGTTTTCAAGTAATTTATATTCTTATATTTGATCATTTTACTTTTGAGACACTATTCCAAGATCTTCCCCTTGACGCACTGTAGTATATAGATAAGTGCTCAGAGTTGCAACACTAATTCCCACTCCTCCCTCCACACCTTCCGTCGCCTGTCATTTGCAGGTCAGAAGGCCACTTCATGCTTAGTTTCTCACTTGTAATTCAACAGTCTTGGCCTTGCTATTAAAATGCCTCCCAAACCTGCCCATTTTTCTCCCTGGGTCTGGCCTTCACATCTCTTTGACCTCTGATAGACTTGTTTTCAGCATGGCACTCAGGTGCAAATAAAACACGTGTTTCCTCTGTTCTTATAGGATTCCTAGAGGCCTGACACAGTATAGCTTCAGGATACTTGTCCTTCTGGAACCTCGTCACCTGTTTTCCGCCTCGCTCAGCAGCTAAGCCGCACAGGTCTCCTCATCTTGTCACAGTCCTTTGTCTGAATTCCTCCCAGATAGTTACCTGACTTGCTCCCCTAGTTTCCTGTGGTCTCCACTCAGACATTTCCTCACTAGTGAAGTCTTCCTTGAATCCCACCATCTAAAGTTACATTCTCCACACTCCAGGGCCCTTTCCCTGCACCCTAGCCTGATGTCTCAAAAGAAAGATACAGAGAGTTTGCAACAGTCGGCAGAGACTTCCATGCCTATTGCCAGGTGTGGTAGTATACACTTGTAGTCCTAGCTACTCCAGAAGCTGAGGCAGGAGGATCACTTGAGTACAGGAGTTTGAGGCCAGCCTGGACAACGTAGAAAGACCCTCATCTCATAAAAACAACAACAACAACAGACAAACCCACATTCCTCAAGTGGTGTCTTTAACTCTTGCTTAGCACTACATCAAGGCAGTGCTTAGGTGCTTCTTCCTAGGAGTCTTGATGTGCACCTACCAGAGGCCTAGTGGCCTTGTCAGCAAAGCACAGAGCAGCCACTGTCAGGAGCCAGCTGCCTCGCCATGTGCTCTTCAGAAAAATGAGCTCCACGTCAGAAACTGAGACAGTGGTTTCTCTGAATGAAAGCTGGGCAACTGCATTCCGTTATTGTTTTATGCAGTACTAACATGTGCCCAAAGCGTAGTCATTACAGGGAACGAGCATCTCCCGGAAGAGGTTGGTATCACATGTGCCCAGCAGTTGTATCCATAAAGGGCTCCAGAGGGAATGTTGCAGGCTCTGCTATCCACAGGGTGTCTTCTGCAGTGATGTAACCCTTGTCATCACTGTGAAAGCAGCCAGATATACCTGACCAGTGAGCGTGCCTGTAGTCTAGTACATTGCTATTTATGAAGACTGAGTTTAATGTAATTTTCTCATGCTATGAAATGCTATTTAGAAAGGTAAAATCCAGCCGGGTGTGGTGTCCCACATCTGTCATCCCAGCACTCTGGAGGCTGAGGCTGAGTCAGGAAGAGCTCCAATTCCAGGCCACTCCAGTTTGAGGTCAGTCTGGGGCTCAGAGTGAGACCCTGCCTCAACAACAAAAAAAAAGGCTTGATGGAGCCCTTTAAAAGGGCGTTTTAAAACCATTCTTGGCATGTGAGCATTAAAAAACAGGGACAGAAATCATCATCTTGCAGAGCCCCAATCCAGAGCAAGGGTGCTGTAGAACCTGCTGTAGTAACAGGCTGTTCTGAGTCAGCGTCAGCACCCAGAGTCACAGCCACACATGCCCATGTGACTGAGGAACTGTGTGTTTAACATCACTTCATGTTAATGTGAGTTTAGTTTAACTTTCACCCCTATGTGGCTAGTGGGTACCATGGCGAGCAGCACAGATCCACAGAGGGCTTGTGCTCGTGTATCAGGAAGCACCGGTAGAAATACCTATCATAGCATTGTTCACAAACAGCAGAAAACACAGAACGATGGCACATATATCCACACAAAGGAAAATGATGCAGTAGCAGTGAAGTTTGTTGAGTGTTTTCTTTATGCTGGGCAATGTTTTAAGCACTTTACAGACTTTAGCTCACAGATTCTCACCACTAGGTAGTGAAAATGCATAAGCCATAGTGGCATACATTAGCAAGGATACACATGAGGTGGCGTGAAAAAGGAAGTCACAAAAACTGCCTGTTGGTCTGGGGCATGGCTCAGGTGGTAGAGTGCCTGCCAAGCAAGTGTGACGTTCTGAGTTCAGACCCCAGTACTGCCAAAACAAAAAAAAAAACACTGCCTATCATGTAATGCCGTTTTAAAAACCTTAAAGGCAAGCAAAATGAATTATTCAGGGGAAATACATAAAATCTTTAAAAAGCAGTAGTGTTCAAGCAGTGCTAACCTGTGGAGGAGAGGCGGTTGCATGAATGTCTCTGAAGGTTGGGTACTCGACCTGGTCTTGTCTCTTCTCCTCTCTAGCAGGTTTATGTCCACTTAATGAACAGCGCTTCTACAGACAAAAAGAATGCACTGGAGCACCACTACAGAGATCTGGTTTCTACTCACATGGAAGCACAAGTTCAGTTAACAGGGGTTTATATTTGTTGTCTTGGTTGGGTACTTTAGATTAGAAAACACCGTTACCATTAAAAACAAAGGGTTAAAACTTTTTGCTCCAAATTTTTGTATCATTAAATCTAATGATGAGTTGCATGTTACTAGAATATAGCTGAAAGAACTTAGCTTAAAAATGAAAACACATAGGCTTATTTATCAATCATCATCATTTATCATTTATCGTTCATTAAAGGGAGAATCCTAATGACACCTGTAGGTGTTAGGAACCCTAATCGCAGTATTTCACCCCTAGCTAGTATAATTTTAAAATCGTGCAGTGGTTCATGGTAAGTGGGATTCCAAGTGACATTTTGTTACTAAGGATGGATTGTGCTGTAGCAATGCTAGTAGCTGAGTGTATTGTTGAGTTACATGTGAAGCCTTTCTTTGTAATATGTGCATCTTTGACTTATTTCCTTATTGTGTCATCTTCCTTTCTCGTGAATTACTGACACGGGTTTATCTTTTCTCCCTTTAGAGAGTGTTGAGGTGACAGTCACCAAAGAAGGTGATCAAGGGTTCTTTATCTCCCTCTTATGAATATTAACCCACTAACTTGTTTATAAAATTGGGAATCAGCCCGTAAACAGAAGCAACTGTCATGCTCTTTTACCCCTATTTATTCTCCTACTTTGTTTCTCTTTTTTTTTTTTTTAATGTATCGATGGAAATTGTATGTAATGAGATCCTTGGTTAGAAATATCTAGAAATCAGACATCCATTTGAACTACATGTATAATGCTGTATGTTTTGTTTAATTGAACCTCAGAGGTTTGCTTTGTAATGATTTCTTTACTCGTTGGAATTGTGGAAGAGTTCAGTCTTATTTTTATGTGAAATATGTTTTGCGAAGTTTCATTCATACATCAAAATACTTATACTTGTTCTCCCATGGGCAAGAATGGAAACATGGGATTTTAAACTCCTATTTAAGCTTCTATGCCAACTTAGCTTTAGCCAAGTTCCCAGGCCGGGTCTCTTCAGGTTTGATAGGGAAAGCCTAGCAAATCCCTCCCGTGGCAGCTGGGTGGTGCTGTTGAAATGGATGCCTGAGAAGTTGGTATTTCTACCTCATTTAGCAGTTTGTTTGATTCCCTAATTTTAGCCAGGCTCATTGCACAGGAAGACTTGATTCTTTTTCTTGACAGAATGTCTGTAATTATGGTGCTGGTCCTATATCTCATGCTTCTTCCTCTCTCAACACTTAACTGCATTTTATCCTCTCTCTGGTCCATACCCAAAGAACTGCCCATCCCTGGGTGCCCAGGGCAGCCTGGCGTGCTCAAGACATTGGCTGTTGGCTAATGAGACTCCTTTGACCCTCGAGCGCCTAATGCTCCTGTGGAATGCCTGTCTGTGTCTTCTCTCTCTCTTTTGTATTCCTGCATGAATGGATGCAAAGTAAATGAGTTGCTTGGAAAGCCCGAATCCGCTTCTCTTACTAAAGCCCTAGAACTCACCCGTGTGAAAGCACAGTGCCCCTGCTTTGTCCACGGGCCCTCCAACCCTCTGGCTGCCCAGTTGTTGTCGTTTTTTTTCTTGGTGGGAGGAGGGCATGTGTGGAAGGTTTGCCTGGTAGACCTTGTAACCTGCTTTGCTTTGACTCCGCAGGTGAGATTTGTGGCTTTAAAATTCATGGGCAGAATGTCCCCTTTGAGGCAGTGGTAGTGGATAAGTCCACGGGTGAGGGAGTGATTCGTTCAACGGAGAAACTGGACTGTGAGCTGCAGAAAGACTACACGTTCACCATCCAGGCCTACGACTGTGGGAAGGGGCCCGATGGCACCAGCGTGAAGAAATCTCACAAGTAAGCAAGCTGGGCAGAGAGTGAAAATAACCTACTGAGTAAATGTGTTTGCATATGAAGGAAACAGTGGTCATCGCCCCAGCTGAGATTCTCGTGTTTTGAATTTGGCTATAGAACTGGATCATAAGGTATTTGAGGGCAGGAACTGAGTCTGTGTGTTCACTTGCGGGTGCAGCCCCTGGCAAGATACCTGCGTGCCATAGGCTTTGAAAAATAAATGAATAATTTTATCTTACCAGTAAGGAAACAAACATTCAGAAAGCCCACTTTTTCCTGAGGAAGATTGTTTTGCTGTTATGTTTTCCCGTAAATTCTGTAGGTGTGGGATAACTAGCCCTGGGAAGGAATAGAGCAGACCTGTGTGTGGCCATTTGCCCCTGCCAGCTGAGAACTGCAGTATAGCAGAGGACATGACAGGTTTAGAATTCCACCCTTTCTCTTCTTGCTAACCCTTCACCATCAGGCAAATGTAATGTTGCTGAGCCTCAGTTTCTCCTTACTACAACTCCTGAGAAAGAGGGGTATGGGCAACATGCGGTCGTATACCCACTGTGAAGGCATGCAGATGCGAGGCCTTGGTGTGTGGAGGCTTTGTGAACAGTGGAGTATCATATGCCAGGGAATCACTCCTTATTTATTTATTTAGGTGGTATTGGGGTTTGAACTCAGGGCTTCATGCTTTCTAGGCAAGAACTCTACCACTTGAGCCTCTCTGCCAGCCCTTTTTGAGTTGGATATTTTCAAAATAGTCTTGCAGACTATTTGCCCGGGTTGACTTCGAACTGTGATCCTCCTGATCGCTGCATCCTGAGTAGCTAGGATTCCAAGAGTGAGCCACTGGCACCTAGCTCACTCCTCATTGTTTACACATGTGAAAATACTTTTTCCTTTGAAAGGATGTGTTTGTTTGCATGGCACTGTGTATGAACCCAGGGCCTTGTGCATGCCCTCCTACTGAGCTATACCTCCCACCCAAAAGCATTATACTTTTTTTTTTGGCAGTACTGGAGTTTGAACTCAGAGCCTAGACTTTGAGCCACTCCACCAGCCCTTTTGTGTGAAGGGTTTTTTCGAGGTAGGGTCTCACAAACTACTTGCCCAGGCTGTCTTCAAACTGTGATCCTCCTTATCTCTGCCTTCTGAGCAGCTAGGATTACAGGTGTGAGCTACCGGTGCCCAGCAAAAGATCACATTTTGATCAGAGACTTTGTTGACCCAGAAACATTTCCTGACCAATAGCTCTTGAAAGCTACAGTTTTCTTTATTTGGAGCTTGGTCTGATGGCACCTGGTGCCTTGTTGGTAACCAAGCTGAGGACATGGAAAGTGGGCAGCCAGGGGTTACCTTCTGAACTTACTCATTTGTGGAGTTGGTACTGAATCCAGAGGTGGGCTGCTCATGCCTCTCCCTCCTCCTTAGAAGTAGGACAGAATTTGTTTTACTTCTTATAATCATACTTTCTCTATTTCTTATCACTTCTCCTTTGGTTCTTATTTCCCCCTAGATTTTGCATTAACATATCTTTTACTTTACAATCAGAGAGCAAACAGATGTCTAATACAGTTTATTTCCCTTCTTCATGTCCTGTCCCATGTGTCAAAGAAAATACCAAGTCTCTTATTACATTACTGATTTTTAAAAATCAGCTGCCTTGGGCAGGGATGTGGTTCAAGTGGTATACTTACGTAGCATGCGGGAAGCCCTGAATTCAAATTTCAATACCTCTTCCCCAAAAAATTCCTTTCTTTTTTTCTTTTTTTTTTTGGTGGGACTGGAGTTTGAACTCAGGCTTTGCTAAGTAGGTGCTCTGCTGCTTGAGCCACACCATTTTGCTCTGGTTATTTTGGAGATGGGGTCTCACGAACTGTTTTCCTGGGCTGGCCTCAAACTGCAATCCTCCTGATCTCAGTCTCTCAACTAGCTAAGATTACAGGTGTGAGCCATCAACTGGCTTTAAAAGAAAAATCCTTTCAAATAAAAATTGGCAATCTTGTTTTTAGGACGTGGGAGAATCAACCCAAATTTCTGTTGGAACTTTTTTGAAACAGGATCTCACTGTACTGCCCAGCCTAGCCTGGAACCCCAGGTAGCCCAAACTGGCCTCAAACTTGATCCTCCTGCTTCCACCTCCCCAGTGCTGGGATTATAGGCCTGTACCAATATGCTGGCCCTATTTTAACTTTCTGTGGTCTACATGCTAAATTCAAAATAATGAAGTTTGGTTTATTTTTTGTCCTCATCATTTGAATTTTGGGAAACAAGGTACCAGAAAAAAAAAATTAGAACTAGGGCAGAATTAGTATCCTTTGGTTAAAAAAAAAATAGAAAACACTCCTCCAAAACAGCTTTTTTCCCTTTGTCCAGAGCAACTGTCCATATCCAGGTGAATGATGTGAACGAATATGCCCCTGTGTTCAAGGAGAAGTCCTACAAAGCGACAGTCGTGGAGGGGACGCAGCATAGCAGCATTCTGAGGGTGGAGGCCTTGGACGCAGACTGCTCCCCTCAGTTCAGCCAGATCTGCAGCTATGAGATTGTCACTCCAGATGTTCCCTTCACCGTGGACAAAGACGGTAAGGACACAGGAGCCTATTTCCTTCAGAGGGGAGAGCAGCCTCCAGTGACATGACTCTTTTTTACCCTGTTGTCTTTGAACCTACATTTATCTTTTTCATCAGAGCATCAGGGACGCTCACAGGTTGACTGAAGACCTGCCTTGGAGGGTGCAGTTCACATTTGAGTTTTCACCCCAATTTAACAGCTTCTTCTCCGGAACCCAGAGGTCTGAGTCCTTCTGGGCTCCCCTCTTTTTCCCTTGCCACCCAAATCAAATACAGACCTCCACAAGCATGCTTTTATTTCCTGTCTTCTCACTTTTCACCCCTATGCATCTGAATGATGTGGACCTTTACTTAGTCTTCTTTTCCATTCAGTTAGAACCTTTACCTCCTTTGGTTTTTATTACCCATGTTGGGAATGGAATCCAGGATCTCATGCATGTTAGGCAACTGCTACCACTGAGCTACATCCTCAGCCCTTCTGCCTCATCCTGACAATGAGGGTGAATATCTTTCTACCTTTGCCAGCCTCTTCATCCTTAGTAACTAAACAGAAGAAACGCTAGGGCTCAATTTCTCTAATGGTGTCTCCATTGTTAATGTGCAGCACAGAATTACAGGTGTGGTAGATAACTTCATAGATACGTGCATTCATGTTCAAAAAGCAGCCTTCTTTCTGAGGAGGAAGAGGAGCAGATCTCTCTCGCTCTCTCTCTCTCTTTTTGGTGGTAGGGATTGAGACCAGGGCCTTGTCTCACACATGCTAAAGGCTCTGCTGAGCCACATCCCCAGTTCAATCCCAACTTTTTCTTTAAGGAAGTAAATATTTTAGCAGAAGATCTTGTATTTAATAGTTGAGGTATTTGAATTATTTTTTCTTTTAAAATTCTCTTACATGTAAATTATTAAATGTTAAAATTACTGTAAAGCCATGGGAATAAATGGGGTGGGTCCTGCCCATCTTTAAATGCTGTGGGTTGGGTGTGATGTGTCCCCAGGCTCAGGTGGATGGCTGGTGTGAAGGGTCTGAGTTAGTCTCTACAGGGATCAGCACAATGCATTTTGCAGTCAGCCTAGGACGTCAGAAGTGAAGAGGGGTCTCACTGTTGTCCCTTCTCTGCCAGGTTATATAAAAAACACAGAGAAGCTCAACTATGGGAAAGAGCACCGATACAAGCTGACCATCACCGCCTATGACTGTGGGAAGAAGAGGGCCACGGAAGATGTCCTTGTGAAGATCAGTGTCAAGCCTGCCTGCACCCCTGGGTGGCAAGGTGAGCTACAGCCTCCTCAGCTCCCATGTCTGTCCCGAAAGCCTGGACACCACAGAAACCTAAACTGTGTGTTCCTCTCCCCACCATGCCAACTCATGGGCCAACACAGGCTGGAGCAATAGGATTGAGTATGAGCCCGGCACGGGAGCTTTGGCTGTCTTCCCAAACATCCACCTGGAGACATGTGACGAGCCGGTCGCATCAGTGCAGGCCACAGTGGAGCTGGAGACCAGCCACATAGGAAAAGGCTGTGACCGAGACACCTACTCAGAGAAATCCCTTCACCGGCTCTGTGGTAAGGAGGCCTGGCATCCCCACGCCTGCCAGTCTTTGGGGAAGACAAGACCTTAGAGCTGGAAATACTTGTCTTTGTTGTGTGTGTAATTATCACACCAAATTACACCATGAAGAAATTAGGAACGGCCTCATGTCCATGGCAGACAGTTAAGTAAGTTAGAGTGTCTATGCCGTGAATTGCCCTGTAGGCATTATAAATTACGCTATAGAAACACACTGAAGAGAATGTATGTATGTGTCACGGGTGGACATGTCAGACTCCATGCTCTGAAGTGGATTACTGGCTCCTTTTCATCCTTGATGAACTTTTAGGAAGTACATAAACCCCTGAAATTTACTCAGAAGTGTGTGTGTGTGTGCACGTGTGTGTGCACGTTTGAAGCACCGCTGATTTGAAGAAGGAAACATACATTGAAAGTCAGCCAAATAAGGAGCTGAGTGACTGTTGTGTGTCTGCCTGGGAGGCTGAGGTAGGAAGATCACTTGAGTTCAGGAGCTTGGGGCCAGCCAGAGCTATGACTGATGCCTATAATCCCAGCTACTCAGGAGGCAGAGTTGGGGAGGTTCATAGTTGAGGCCAACTGGGGCTAAAAGTTAGTGAAATCCTATCTTAACAAATAAGCTGAGCATGGTGGTTCACATCTGTAATTCAGCTGTGCAGGAGGCATACCTTGAGTGGTTAAAAAAAAATAAGAAATGGAGCAACTTTTATATGAAATGAGATGTTCAGTTAAGTATTGACAAAAAATAAGGTAACGCAATAGCTTTTGGCAAATATATGGAGCAGAAAATCAATGCTAAGGATACACCTAAGCTGGAGGCTCAGCGACTTCACACATCATCAGCCTTGTGGGGACATTGAGAGACCGAGTCATTGGGACACCAGCCAGTGGTGAGGCTCGCTCTCTCCACCATCAGATATGGACACTTTGGTTTAATCTAAATGAAGAGATCAGGTGAGGATTCCTGTCCTGGTAGCTGCTGGAGGAGAATGCTGTACGGGGCTGATGATGAAATGCCAGGATCTCAAGTGGCCTGTTTATAATTGGCAGGGTCTTTTGTGTTTTGAGATGCTTTGTAACAGTTTTTTTTTGGTTTTTTTTGGTGGTTGTACTGGAGTTTGAACTCAGGGCCCCGAGCTGGCTGGGCAGGGAGGCCATGTCTCCCTCCCCTTTCGCTTTGGTTACTTTTGAAATAGGGTCTCAAGTTTATGCCCAGGCTGACCTGGACTGTGATCTTCCTATTTAAATTTGTCACGTAGCTGGCATGACAATTGCGTGCCACTGTACCCCACTTTGTGTTTTTGTTTTGAATTGGTTGAGATGGCGTCTTAGACTTTTGCCTGGCCTGGCCTCAAACCACAATCCTCCCAATCTTTGCCTCCCAGGTAGCTAGGATTATAGGCGGGAGCTGCCACATCTGGCTTCAGAACAGCTTTTTAGGGAATGTTTTCCTAAACTGACTTTCTTTTCACTGTCCCAATAACAGCCATTTAGATTTAGGCAACAGTTTTCTTATATAATTAAAAATTGTTAGATGGCAAATAAACAAAAGGAGAAAATTCTACAGTGTTCTGGCCATCCAGTGATGAGTATATTTATACAAGTACGTGATTCTTGAGTCCACAGACTTACAGTCAGGTATGTAAGTTAGGAAGTTGAGAACATTTTCCATTTTTAAATTGTGCTTACAAGTATAACATATAAGACTGACTTTTTGGACTGGAGGCATAGCTCACTGGTATATTATTTACCAGGCCTGTGTAAAGCCATGGGTTTGATCCTCAGTACTGCCAAGAAAAGAAAGAAAGAAAAACATTCTTCTCTGATAATACCACTCTTACGGTGTTAAACGAATGTTTTCCCAGCAGAACAGCTGAAAGTTAGGAAGAACAGAGAGAATTAGTAGTTAAATCTGGCCTATGACATACCACATGCCAAGTACTTTCATGTGCTTTACCTTTACCGACAGGTCTGTGGTGTAGCTGGGATTGACCTTGTTTTTACAAGGGGATAAGTAAGGTTACGGTATGCCAAGTACCTTGCCAAAGGACGCATGGTAGAGCATAGCAGAGCTGGGATTGGACCGAGAGCTTTCTTTACTCTGAAGACCAGGCTGGTGTACTGGAGTCAGGCTGCCCCCAGGACTAGAAAAGTCAAGAACAACAACTAAGTAGGGAGAGCTTGCAAAAATTTTTTTGCTGGATAAGTTTAAAAGAAAATTTGGAGGCTGGAGGTACAGCTTAGTGGTAGAGCATGCATGAGGCCCTGGGTTTAATCCCTAATGCCAAAAAGAAGAAAAGAAAATTTGACCTTGATGTTAGGTAAGACAGTTGTGAAATTTTTTTCCCTATTCTTTAATTTAAACTAGGGGCATAATCTCGGGGGCACGGGTGCTCATGGAGAGGTTTATAAGAGGCTGTTTAGGAACAGCTTCTAAGTCCTCCTGGGAGATGAGTTAAAAAAGTTACAGAGTATGTATAGTGAACTCTTATGCAAGCATTTAAAATTATTCTGTAGAAGAATTCTGAAGAGTGTATGTATATATTATATATGGACATGCCAGGACTCCAGTCGAGTTAAAAAAAAAATCCGTCGGGCGCCTGTAATCCTAGCTACTCAGGAGGCAGAGATCAGGAGGTAGAGGTTCTAAGCCAGCTTGGGCAAATAGTTCATGAGATCCTTTCTTGAAAAAAAACCTTCACAAAAAGGGCTGGTGGAGTGGCTCAAGATGTAGGTCCTGAGTTCAAACCCCAGCACTGAAAAAAAAAAGAAAAATCCACCGTGATGTTCATAAAAGAGGACTTGGGGGTGTTAATATCCAAATGGCACGTACTCAGGTGAGAGGATAAGAAACACTCCACTATTGTGCATCTCCTCTCATTTAAAAAAGCATCCACAGTTATCACTCATTTTTGTTTTAAAATCCCTTTTGAGGGAAAGTAAACTATAACTAGCAAATGGTAAACCTTAAGGTAAGGCTTGTGCCTCAGCGTGGTTGTGAACCTCGTAACTTTCTATTCCTCGTGGAACTGACATTGGGCGTGCTGTGGTTTTAGGGGCCGCTGCTGGCACTGCTGAGCTGCTTCCTTCCCCCAGCAGCAACTTAAACTGGACCCTCGGCCTCCCCACTGACAACGGCCACGACAGTGACCAGGTCTTTGAGTTCAATGGCACTCAGGCAGTGAGGATCCCAGATGGCATAGTGTCCCTCAACCCCAAAGAGCCCTTCACAATCTCCCTGTGGATGCGGCATGGGCCTTTCGGCAGGAAGAAGGAGACCATCCTCTGCAGTTCAGACAAGACAGGTCGGTCACCCTTCGGTATGCAAGGTTGTTCTTCAGTGTCTTGGGGTAGTGGCCAGAGGCAGGTACCTCTGCTTTCCCCAAAACCCCCCAGGGGCTCGTATTTGTTCTGGGACACTGTCCTCAAGAGACGTGGCCTTCAGGAACATACTAACTAGTGTTACTTGGTGGATTGTCAGCAGCTATCATGCGCCAGCTTCTCAGTAAAACGCAAGTGTATTTGTTCTTAAACCCTGCCTTATCCCACCTGGACGGTTTATTATGCGGATAAAATTGTGTCTTCAAAATTCATTAAGGAAATGGCTCTTATTTCTACCTTGGGTCTTAGGTTGGCAATTTACCCATAGAACTGTCTTTGCAGATATGAACCGACACCGTTACTCACTCTATGTCCATGGATGCAGGCTGATTTTCCTCCTTCGTCAGGATCCTTCTGAGGAAAAGAAATACAAACCTGCAGAATTCCACTGGAAGCTGAATCAGGTGAGCAGCCCAAAACCTCACCTTAATTAGGTGGTGCTACCTTGTGCAGTGATGTCATGGTTGCTATGTCTGTGGGTCACAGTAGAGCAAATTAAATCCACTTAAGTCCTTTCTACTGAAAGCCTACTTTTTTTTTCCATGTATGTATTTTATACATAAAATACTGGTATAAAATTAGTTTTATTGTGGGTTTTTTTTTTGTTTTGTTTTTTTAGCACTGGGGTTTGAACTCAGGGCCTCACACTTGCTAGGCAGGTGCTCTTACCACTTGAACCACTCTGCCAGCCCTTTTTTGTGATGGTTTTTTTCCAAGATAGGGTCTTGAAAACTCTGCCCATGGCTGGCTTTGAAACATGATCCTCCTAATCTCTGCTTCCTGAATAGCTAGGATTACAGGAGTGAGCCACTGGTGTCTGGCTAGAATTATGTATTTAAACTCAAAATACCATTCTAATTTATTGAAATAAGGATCCTTTGCTTTGATATTGGGATGGAGAACCTTGCATTTATTTATTCATCATTGTTTAAGGTCTTGGCCCCTGACTAAGTCCCTTCTGGGGTGACTCAGCAGTTCAAGGGCACACAGGATGTTTTAAATTTTCAAAGAACCAGCAATCTGGACATCTTTCAGATGCCACACAAACCACCTGCTTAAAATAGTTTACAGTTTTGACATGAGATCACATTACTAACACTCCTTTTGATGATATCATGTCTTGGCAAAGCTCATTTTCCAGCAGTTGCTGTGATAAGCACTGCCCCAAAAGGAGGGGAAAAGCAAATATCAGGTGAAACAATCTACATGTTACAGGAAAAAGGGGGTGCTGTAAACCTAGAAAGCCTCATTACAATTGGAACAGACCTTTTCCTCTCTTGACAAGAAGGGTGTCTTTGGCCCTTAGCTTGCTTTATTTGGTTTATGGAATGGACAAAGGCTGACATGTTAGAAGCACCTGTCTTTGTTAAAATGTAACATCGTCTGAAACAGTTACAAGATAGACAGGAATACAGGAAGTGACTGTAGAGATGGAGTGTCCACTTGGTTGTGTTCATCTCTTACTGATGTGATTTCTACTTATGTAAATAATTTTTTCTATGAAGTCTTTTTACCATAGTTCTGTTTTGTTTTTTTTCCCAAGAAATTTAAGAGAAGTATATTCTTAGAAAAAAAAAAAAAAACGTTTGCAGTGTAAATAGACATTTTAGGTATGCTTCTGTTATAGTAACCGTAGTCTGGCATGTTTAGTTTCTTCTGATCACATATTTTTAAAGACTGTTATAGAAAATTTCAGACATACAGAAATAATTAGTGGAAAGAACAACACTGCATACCCTTCGCCTGACTTCATCAGTGGCCAGCTCTTAGCTTCTTTCATTTTTACTCCTGTCATCTGTAAAAAATGACTCCATAATTTTCACAAAATCAGAGAGCATTTTGATTTCTAGACATGCATATTTCATTATTGTGTCTCTAAGAGATAACATCACAATACTTTCTTCACATCTTTAAAAAATGAATAGGAACAAGGGCTCAGTCATAGAGCACATACTCACCATGTGTGGGATCCTGGATGCCCAGTGCCAAATGAAAAAAATCAACAATTCCAGCCAGGCGCCAGTGGCTCATGCCTATAATCCTAGCTACTCAGGAGGCAGAGATCAGGAGGATCACGATTCAAAGCCAACCTGGGAAAGTAGTTCAAGAGCCCCTATCTCGAAAAAAAACCCATCAAAAAAGGGCTGGTGGAGTGGCTCAAGGTGTAGGCCCTGAGTTCAAGCCCCAGTACCAAAAAAAATTAAAAAAAAACCAATTCCTAGTATCATCAAACATCCAATAAATGTTCAAATGTGAAGTTGTTTCATAAATATTTTTGTTTCTGCAATTTGCTTGTTTGGATCAAGATGCAAATATAGGGCCATGCATGGAAATTGGTTGGTAGATATTCATGGTGCCCATTCACAGCAGAAAAGGAACTCAGTTGAATTTGACGTAGAGCCTGAGCTGTATGTCCTTACTTATTTTTATTTATCTAACTTAATTTTGGTGCTGGGAATTGAACCTGTTCATGCTTCTGAGCTACCCCCCAAATCTGCCTAAGTCCCTATTTAATTTTTTTTTGGAGGGTGGGGTTTGATCTCAAGCCTTTGCACTTGTAAAGGAAGCAGGCACTCTACCACTTGAGCCACACCTCCAGTCCTGTTTTGCTCTGGTTATTTTAGAGATGGGATCTCTTGAACTATTTGCCTGGGCTGGCCTCAAACGGAGATCCTCCTTATCTCAGCCTCCTAAGTAGCTAGGCGTCTAGGTATGAGTCACTGGCACCTGGCTGTGTTCCTGTTTGGATCACCAACTTAGACATTGACAAAGAATCCCAGTTGCTTTGATTGCCTACATGTGGCTGGCACAATTTTCAGAGTAGCTTCTGACATGTATTCAAATACTGATCAATAGACATTTTCACACACTGTTCACAGTTTCTTCAGTCTACACAGATCAGAATTCAGGGGTTGATCTTTTTCTGTAAGGAAAAAAAGGTAAACCTTTCAGAAAAAAAAATATGCATTTTTATTGAGTGCCTGATTCTGAGATTGGAGGTGCTTTTTATTTTGATTCAGAAAAGGCCAGGTGGCAGCCTAACTCATCTGTTAGGAAACGGATATCCAGCTGCTGATTCAGGAATTTCCTGGTGTCATCCTATTGGTGGAGAATTGGGCCACTCCCTATTTGGGGGCCCTGTCCTATGATGAATGCTATCTGGTTTGAAATGCCCTAGAAATTATAGTGCTGTCGGGTCCCTTTGTTTGGTTTTTTGGTAGAACTGTAGTTTGAACTCAGGGCTTCACACTTGCTAGGCAGGTGCTCTATCACTTAAGCCACACCCCCAGCTCTTTTTGCTTTAGTTATTTTTCAGCTAAGGTTTGTGTTTTTCCTGGGGCTGCTCTTAGACAAGATCCTCCTACCTATCCCTCCATGTAGCTGGGATAACAGGTGCATACCACCCAGCCCAGCTTCTTGTTGAATTGGGGATCTTGCCAACCTGTTTCCCAAATTGGCCTTTAACCATAACCCTCCTGATCTCTGCCTCCTGAGTAGCTGGGATTACAGGCATGTATTACCATACCAGGCACCTTGTCCCTTTTTGGTCAGATGTGTTTTCAGAACACTTCATTGTTTGATATTTGGGGGTTTTTTAAATCCTTTTTAGGAAGATAGATGTTTCCTATGCATTTCTTATTTTCCATACCCAGCTGAACTCTCTCAGAGTTGTGTCCTTGGATGAGAGGCAGGTTGACATTTCATGCTTCCTTTTTCCCTGGTAGGTCTGTGATGAGGATTGGCATCACTTCGTCCTCAATGTGGAGCTCCCAAGTGTGACACTCTACGTGGATGGTGTTTCTCATGAGCCCTTCTCTGTGACTGAAGATTACCCGCTTCACCCAACCAAGATAGAGACTCAGCTCGTGGTTGGCGCTTGCTGGCAAGGTAGCAGTCACCAGGCCCTGTTCCCCAAGCCTCTTTACCATGTTGGTGGAAGCAGCTCTTATAAGCATCTTAAATTCTCAGTCCTGTTCTCTTTATCTTTGCCTGTGTGCAGCCTTTTCGGGGACATGGCTGATGTCACATTTGGACACAGCCCTAGCTGTGCATGTGTTTTGGACCAGAGCACACCATCACCCTTCGCTGTGAACCTGGGAGGGAGTGGTACACAGAGGGAGAGTGTAACTCGTAGAACCAGTTTATAAATTAATCTCTTTATTGAAGTTTACAAGGACAAAGAGGCAGGATTCAACAGTCAGGCACAGAAATGTAAAGGATTCTCCTGAGTGTTTAGCCCTTGACAACCTGGCAGAACCCAGTAGGGGCTGCTCACTTTCAGCATGGCCACATTGAAGAGAATCTCTGGGAATCTACTGAAGGACTAGGGAGGGAGACAATTCCCACCACGAGAGCCAAAGCTACTACTTAGTTACCAAGTGCCAGCTGTGTGCTGCTTACTTTATATACATTATCTTAGGTAATCCTCAAAGTCTTGTCGTGTAGCTATAGGAACTGGGGCTCCAGGGTTCCCAGATGGTTAATCACAAAGCTGGGATCTGAACCTGAAAAGCCAGTGTACCTCAGGCTCCTGCCATGACCCACCAGACCAGGACTTTGAACTCGTCTTGTGGAATGGAGCCTTCCTGTGGTGAAAGTTGTAGACTCTGTAATCTATAATACACAGTACATCATTTTACCTGTGAAATCTAGGCAGCCAGTTAAATTGAAATAGTGCTACAAATTAAAGGACCAGCTCTGTGTTCTAGAAATACCCATGGTGCTCTGTTAACAAGTGAAGAACAAGCTTTTGTAAAATAATGGCTATAATTTTACAGTCGTGAAGAGCTTTGTGACAGTACATTGATATCTGCAGCTACATGGTATGATACGGAAATATCAGTGATTTCTGCTGGTGACAATGTTACAGTTATCGCAAACACTGCTGTGGTTTGCAGCCTACTTTTATAATCAAGGAAAATGCTGAATTTTAGAAGTTAATGAAAATAAGCATGAATTGTTCTCATCCATGTTCATGGATGCCTCAGTCTACCTTGGAGGGGAGGTTCATGATCTTACTTTGACACTTGCACTTGACTTCATCTTGTGTCATTTCAGGTGTCAACATCACTACACATGCTTGTTAAGTAGACCTTTTGAATTTTTATTTTGCCCCTCTGGGTTAGAATTATGAAAGAACCTCGTTCTAAGACAGATTTTCTTATTTTAGGAGAATTTGAATTTCATAATTTTTCTCCAGTCTTTTGGGTACAGAGGAGTAAGATAGCATACTGGAGTGAACCTCTTCAGCAGATCCTCAGATTTAATTTTGGTTGGTGACAAATATCCATGAAGAAGTAGATGTGACACCAAGCTATGAGAAATTTATACGGGAATACAGGAAGATTTTAGTTGATATTCTTAAAATTCAAATGTGCTTCCTAGATGAAACAATAATTTCTGAATAATATTTTGAAATAATAAAAATATAAGTATAACCCTGTGTTATGGGGGAAATTGTGATGGGTGCGGAGCAGCAAGCGGCTTTACCAGGGCACGGGTCTGGCCTTGCTGGAGACACATCCCCACACTTACTGCACGTAAGGTGCCTAAGCAGGCTGCCGAAGCCAGTGTTGCCGGGCACCCGGGAGAGTAGAGGTGTTTCTGCTACAGAGCAATCCTTCTTGTGTTGGTTCTAGCCTCGACTATGTCAGGCACCCTCCAGCAGGCTTCAGATTCTGAGCCCTGATCTGCCACTGCAGAAGCTGCAGCTGGCGAGGGGCCCAGGCCCACCGAGGGTTCTGTTTCTGTGGGTGAGTTCCTTCACTGTCTCCCTTCCCTCTCAGAAAGAGTGCCTAGAAATGTTACTGAGAGTCCAGACATGGTGAACTTGTTTTGAGTTTCCAAAATATAGACTTGTGTTCACCATATGCTGGGTTTTGGGTCCTTGGTCTGCACAAAATGTCTTCCCCGTTTGCAAGAAGGTGCTGTTGGTCCAAAGTTGGTTCGTTTACATCCAGTCCAGCACTGCAGTTGGGGCTGAGCGTCCTTGGAATCTCCTACTTTGGCTGAGCAGATCAGTGCTTTTAGTGCTTTTATTAATACATGCTTTTATTAATCTTATTTTGAATTTAATTTGTGTTCAAGCAAGGGGATATGGGAGGATGGAATAAAAGAATTCAAAGTAAGCGTGGGTTTTAGATCCCCTCTGAGAAGAGGTGACCAAAAGTAAGCTTGCAGCCAGGTGGAAAATGTCCCAAAAAGGGACATGAGGGAATTTTCTCTTGGGGTTTCATATTTGGTTGCTTCAAAACTGATATTCGTGGTCCAGTTGGAAGACCCTAACCTCTTGGTCCTTCTGTATTGTCTTTGTCTTGCTTTTCCAGAGTATTCAGGAATTGAAAATGACAATGAAACTGAGCCTGTGACTGTGGCCTCTGCAGGTTGCTGGATTTTTTCCCCTACAGTTCACTATTGTGTTTCATTTAAAGATGAGACATCAATTCATCCCATGTCGCATGAAATGTGCCAGTTGCACTCAGGGCCTGGGCACCCATTCAACTGCTTCCTGTGTTATGCTTCTCCATTGCCTCCTGGGACTGCCCTTTTCTTTCTATCCTGACCCATTGAAATGGGGTGGGGGTACCTGCAGTACAGTGAGTTCCTCACTGAGTCCTAGCCACATCCCACTGCCCGAGGCTCCCTGCTGGACCCTCCCAGGCCAGACATGGCGCTCCTGAGGCTGAGCTACAAGACAGGAAAAGATTCGTTTCTAGATTTTCTGTTCTAAGTGATACTGAGTTCCACAGAGATGTTTCTTACAAGTCTCGATTCCTAGTGATAACTTGCCAAGCCCCATGCCCTATCTGAGTGAGACAGCTGGTGAGAGTCAGTCTCCTCTGCTAGCACAAGTGTGGAGCATGGTGTTGGGCTCTTCGTTGTTGTCTCAAGGGCCATGCTCAGGGTGCGTGTTACGGCGTCTTCCCTTGCGGGTCCTCAGAAGTGGGAGATAGGAACGATAGGGTTGGACAAGGCAGCAGCTTCCTGAAAGACCTCAGCAGAGGCGTTGGTGGTGACTGCCCCTTGTCCTGCTGCACTTGTACTTGCATGGCTTCACCCTGAACCTGTGTTCCAGTAAGGAAAGCAGCCTGCGAGGTGCTCAGCTGACCTCGGGGCAGGGCTGAAGAGGGAGTGGCCAGTGGCCAGATGGGCAGGGACTCCAGTGGGATCCCTGGGCTTCTGGGCTTCAGGTGAGGACGACCTCCAGTTCCCTCCTCGCCAGGCCGTGTGCATGAGCATCAGCAGTTTAATTTCTTCATAATACCTCCACATGGATTGCAAGGCTAACAGGATTTGGTCTGAACTAACCTGCATGCCTATCCATCGAGCTGCCACCACTGGTAACACTGCATTGGGAAGTGACTGGGGGCATCCGGGCCACATGCCCGATTTCTCACTTCTGCCCTCTCTTCCAAAGGTGGCGACCTACACATGACACAGTTTTTCCGAGGCAACCTGGCTGGTCTAACAGTCCGCCCTGGGAAACTGGCGGATAAGAAGGTGATTGACTGTCTGTACACCTGCAAAGAGGGGCTGGACCTGCAGGTCCCCGAAGACAGTGGCAAAGGCGTGCAGGTAACTCTGAGTGCCCACTTACACAGACATGGCCACAGCATTCTAGTACCTAGACCACAGATGGGGAGGCCAGTGGGTACAGCGGGAATTAAGGGTGGATTTTTGCACCTGCGATGTTGCCATCATGTAAAAGAGGGTCTTGTATCATCCCACCCACGGGAGTTACAGTTTACACATCACCAAAGCAGCCAGGGCCTCTGCTCATCGGAGCCTCACTCTGTCCTTGCTCTCCCTTTGGCATGGAAGATCCAGGCCAGCCCCAGTCAGTCGGTGTTGACCTTGGAGGGAGATGACATTGGGGAGTTGGATAAGGCCATGCAGCGCGTCTCCTACCTGAACTCACGGCAGTTCCCCACACCTGGCATCCGAAGGCTCAAAATCACCAGCACAGTCAAGTATGTCCCGGTTTTTACAGTAAGCATCTATGGTCAAATTAGAGAAAGCATTCCAGGAGGGGCTGCCATCTGTCCCTTCTGGGTACTTGAGGAATCCCGTGGGGTCTGCCTCTGCAAGCCTTTGGCATGTGAGAGGGCTCTTGAGGCCCTAACTCTTCCCGCCTACTTTTTGCCGCAGGTGTTTTAACGAGGCCGCTTGCATCACAGTCCCCCCAGTCGAAGGCTATGTGGTGGTTTTGCAGCCCGAGGAGCCCAAGATTAGCCTGAGTGGTGTACACCATTTCGCCCGAGCGGCTTCTGAATTTGAGAGCTCAGAAGGCGTTTTCCTGTTTCCTGAGCTTCGGATCATTAGCACCATCACCAGAGAAGTGGAGCCCGAAGGGGATGGGGCTGAGGACCCCACAGGTAACGCAGCTCTGCCTGGGCTAGTACCTGCTGCAGCTGGAAACCCATGTGCTGCCACTTACATACGGGGCTCCCTTTTTCTGGGGTGCAAAGGGAGTTAATGTTTCAGTGCTGTGGCTGAGTCTGCTTCTGGAACCTGACTGTGGTTGGAGTCATTGTGATCTTTGGAAACCCACGGGCGGGGGTTGGTTTCTTTTCCTGACTGATACCAGGGTCTGAGATGTGTGTAGCTTGAGGCCAGCCCAGCAGGACTGTCCCCACTATTCTTGCTCAGGACTCATTAAGTACCCCAGTTACTTACTTACTTACTTACTTGGTGCTGGGGATGGAGCCTGGGGCCCTGTGTATGCTGAACATGCACTCTGCCACTGAGCTGCACCCCACTTCATAAAGTGAGTCTCCCCAGCTTCAATCACTGGTCCTCAGAAGGGCTTTGTGAGCTTGAGCACGAGCCGGCCATCCGTTGGGGGGGTGACACGTCGCTGGTCCCCATGGCCTCTGAAAGTTCTGGTTGGGCCATTTCTGCAGTTCAAGAGTCCCTGGTGTCCGAGGAAATCGTGCACGACCTTGATACCTGTGAGGTTACGGTGGAGGAGGAGGAGCTGAACCCAGATCACGAGAGGCTGGAGGTGGATGTGGCCTGCCTGCAGCAGAAGGGCATCGAAGTGAGCCACTCTGACCTGGGTGTGGTATTCACAGGTGAGAAGCTGGAGCGAGTATTCTGCCTTTGTTTCTTGCTCAGAAAGCCACACATGTGTGGCCCATTGGCTTAACTGACCCAGGTGCCTGACCTTAACCACCTGGGCCTCTGTTCAGGTTCTTAACTGAAGCCACTTAGCTCATTTCTCACTTTCCACCCTGCAGGCGTGGACACCATGGCCAGTTACGAGGAGGTTCTGCACCTTCTGCGCTATCGGAACTGGCATACTAGATCCCTGCTTGACCGGAAGTTCAAGCTCATCTGCTCTGAGCTAAATGGCCGCTACCTCAGCAACGAATTTAAAGTGGAGGTGAGTCCTGGCTCTCAGCCCCATGGGCCAGCAGCAGTGGTACCCAAGTTCCCTGACTCTGTGTCTTCATGTTGGCAAACGCCAAATTTTTAGTGCATTCTGGTAGTAATTATGGCTTATCCCAGGGCTGGCGGCCTCTTCCAGCCTGGGGTCTGCTGCAGGGTAGACATGTGGGCTTGGTCACGCTTGGGGCCCAAGCAGAGTCACTGCTCCACTTTTACTGCCTTAGCCCAAATAGAGCCTGAGGGGCCTGAGAGAGAGGTTTAAAAAGACCTGAGGTAGGGAGTGCCATGAGGAGGGTGTGAGGCTGTTTTCTTGAGGTTTCACAATGTGAGAGATACATGAGAACACAGGTGTAGAAAGAATAGCCCTACGGAACCAAGGGGTCTTTATAGCTGTGCCAGGTCACTGTTCCTGTTAAGAGTAAAGTCAGGTCCCTGGCTGGGAGAGGGGCTGACCCAGGGACTAACACCAGGTAGAGCTGGAGCTGCTGAGGCTGGTGGTGGTCTCTGTCATGACAGAGAGCAGCTTGTCGTGCTCTGAAGCTGTCAGCAGCCTCTACTGCAGCTTCTTCCTGGCTCAGGCCTCAGTGGTTTGGGAAAATGGACCCAAAGCTGTTGCTAGCAATGGACCATCTCCACTGTGACTGCAGTGATAGAAGGCTAAATTGACAATGCTGAGAAGAATTGGAGCAAAGGGACTGATTCTGAAGGAACCAAGGTGCTGCGAGTTGGGCTCTCTCATGTGGCCGTCTTGGGTGAAGGAGGAAAACGCTGTACGCCAGTGCTTTCCCACTGACCCAGGAGAAGCACCTGTGCTGTTTCTACTCTGAAGCCACGGATTCCTTTATATGATGCACTATAAGTAAGTTATTAGGAAAGCGCTGTGTTTCTTGTCTGGCGACATCAGTGTTACAGCATTTTCTAAATGCTTACTCTTGATTTTTTCTTGTCACAAGTGGCAGACCTGTTTGCTCCCAGCACGGTCCAGAGACCACTCAGAGCAGCACAGCTGTCAGCTGCTAACTCCGTTTCTCTCTTGGGCACGCAGTATGCTGATTTCAGTGATCTTTCTCTCTGCAGGTAAATGTGATCCACACGCCAACCCCGTGGAACACGCCAACCACATGGCTGCCCAGCCACAGTTTGTTCACCTGAACATCGCTCCTTTGTGGACCTGTCAGGCCACAACCTGGCCAACCCTCACCCATTCGCAGGTAGGACAGTGGGGGAAGTGTCTATGCAGGGGCCAGGTAGACCCAACATCACCCATCGCTGTGTCCCCATAACTGTCACACACAAGGAAATGAAAGCTTACCCACAGCCATAGAGCGGAACGTGTGAGCAAGCCAGGGTGCGTCTGCGCAGACCCTTTTCCTCCTAGACTCGGGGGTCAGGCGAGGCATTCTGACCAACTTGGTTTGACCTAGCATGGTTGAGGAAGTCAAGGGCAGGTTGGCTGGCTGATGACATAACTAAAGCTCTGTTTTGCTTTTCAACGCCACGGCAGTGGTCCCCAGTACTGCGACTGTTGTGATTGTGGTGTGTGTCAGCTTCCTGGTTTTCATGATTATCCTGGGAGTATTTCGATCCGGGCAGCACATCAGCGAACCATGAGGACCAGGACACAGGGAAGGAGAATGAGATGGACTGGGACGACTCTGCCTTGACGATCACCGTGAACCCCATGGAGGTAGGAGAAGATGGACCCCTAGATCTGCCGCACAGCTCCACAGGCCAGGCTGGGCTAGGCTCAGGGTAGCATGGTGCCTTTGATTTCACATGCCCGTGTCACTTAGGCTGAACAATAGCTCCACGAGGTCAGGGTACTCATTTTCAGATGGGTAAACTGAGGCTCAGAGGCCTTGTTGAAGGTCATACTGCCTATAAACATAGGAAAACATAGGAAATTGGGCTCTGTTCCCCAGCCAGGAGCACCCCTCTCCCCACAGGCACGGACTCCATGGGACCACAGTGGGGAGTCACTGGGAGTCTCACTGGGGTGTTTCCCTTCCTCTGTGGCTCCCAGGAGGTGGTCACTGGGTGATGGGACCATGAGCTGAACTCACACTTGCTGTCTGTTTGCCAGACATATGAGGACCAGCACAGCAGTGAGGAGGACGAGGAAGAGGAGGAGGAGGAGGAGAGTGAGGATGGGGAAGAGGAGGAGGACATCACCAGTGCTGAGTCAGAGAGCAGTGAGGAGGAGGAGGGGGTCCCAGGAGATGGCCAGAATGCTACCCGGCAGCAACAGTTGGAGTGGGATGACTCCACGCTCAGCTACTGACCACGTGCCCCCAGCTGCCTGCTCCCGCCTCAGAAGACTGCCACCCTGTCCCAGCCCCATGGGTCCACGATGTACAAAGTCATTTTGGCCAGCAGGTCTGCAGACCCTCCCCAACGCTGATCGTCCATGTGCTTGGTGTGTAGAACCGTAGGCTCCCGCTCTCTGCCCTCCCTTTGCCCGGATCGCTCTGCACTTATGCCAGGAGCTGGCACTTCCTTCTGGCCTCATCCTGCTGCTGCATCCTGGGGGTGCCATGGCCCCACATGTGTCTGGTGTCCCCTATGTGCCAGTGGCACGAAGACGCCGACCCTTTCACCTCCAGGAAAGCTTCAGTGACTGGACTTGGTGACAAAGGGTAAAAGTGCTCACTCCCACCTGGTAACCATTGTTTCGTTTTTTCTTTTTTTTAAAGTTTTTATTTTTTCCAAACTAGTGCATGTATAAAATGGCAGAATGGGGGTTAATATGTAGATGACCAAATGACTTTTTAATATTTGTAAATAAATCGGGATTCTCTGTGTCCTTTGTGCTAGTGTAGTCCAGGAATGTAACGTGAGGTTCAGCAAGCCAGGCACAGGAGGGCTCTCAAGCTCCTAGACCCCTCCCTCATCTTCTCAAGAAGCCAGGTTGGAGAGGCCTGCCCTGCCCTTGCTTGGGTCTCCATGCCGGGCGGATGGGTTGGGGGCCATAGGCTTTGGTGTGCTGCTCCTGGGACCAAATCAGGGTTCCATGTTTGGAGGCGGTCTTGTCTTTGGAATTCTACCGTTTCTAGTTTGGTATTGGGGATGAGGCTGTTTGGTTCCCTGGCCTCTTTTACACACTCGCTCCACGCACTGAGCAGCCTGGGCTCATCGTGTGCAGCCTCGTAGCTGATGCTTAATAAACGTGCATTTCCTGCTGATGAAAGCATTCTAGCTCATGGAGACTGACAGCTGTTTTGCAAACTGACCACCTGGGTTGGAGCTTATAATGGGCCTGAGAGATCTAAGACCCTGAAGGCAAGCTGCTAGAATGTTCCAAAACAGACCCTGTTTCCTCCTCAGGGCCCCTGCCAGGATGCCCCCTGTCATGGGGGAGCAGGAAAAATCCATACCCCAGTAGCCAGGAGTCCTGCTGCAATGGTTAGGCAAAAGGAAAAAAAGTCACGTCTTAAACCCAGCACTTCGCTTTTTACTACATGTCAAGCTTTAGACTTCCACGCCTGGGGGAATCATTTGAACACTGTCCTAGGACTCTCATTGCTAGTTTGAGGACACTGACAGCTGTGCTGTTTCTGTGTGGCTGCTGTTCTGTGTCCTGTCCCTATAGCTGCTCTGTTTAGACAATGGAAAGATGCTGATGCAGAGAGGGACACAGGTCCCCTCTGGATGTGTGTATTGATGCTAGGTCGGAAAGTACATACACTACAATAAATTCTGGTTCTAACTCCAGCTGGAATGGGGTCTGTTTTCTGTCTTGTTTTTTTTAACCTAACAAGCATTCCCTTGTTTCTTTCTGAGCCAAAACGTAAGAACATAAAAAGGCTTTTATTTCCCCCCCTGCCTTTACCTCTCATGTCAGGGTTGCACAGACCAGTCTCAGTATTACGGAATTTGCCTTTCTCATACAGAAACGTGAAATGACTTAAAAAAATAGAAAATACTCTTGCCAGGCACCCAGACTGTTCACCCAACAACACAGCAACGCCAAGGGTGTGCAAAGTCTGCAGCCCGCACCGGGGAAGCACCCAGACTCGTTTCAATAAATAACAAGACATACACACGTACACACCGCTTCTCCTATTCCCACGAAGGTGTGGGGCTGAGGGACTGCAGCGTCTAGTTGGGAACCAGAACATGGTCACTGGCCACCATGGACCAAGCAGATGCTCTGTGGTGGCACCAGTTGCCGCTGGACCCCTGGCTCATCAAAACAGAGTGAGCTGGCACTGGGCTCCTTTTTAAGCCATGCATCTGGGCTGCTGAGGGGCAGCGGCTGCTGGTTTTGCTGAACGTGGCAGATACCAAGAGACCAGCAGAGAGCGTGGCGGGTCCTGAGTTGGCAGCTAATGCATCAGGTTCACCACAGGCTTCTTTTTTCTTTAGTTTGTGGGGGGATGGAACCCGGGCCCGTGTGCACGTTAAGCTCTATGCTGCTGAGCTATGTACCCCAGCCTACTGTGGGCTTTAAAAAGGCCAGGATCCTAGCCCATCACCAGAGTGGGCTTCGGAAGGCTGGAGAGGCCCAGGTCCTGCACTTGTAAAGCTGTTCTGATCCAGCCCTTTTGAAGGTCTGAGGCTAGGCCTAGACCGTTTCGAACTGAGTACTGTCAAGAGAAAGATGACATTCACCCCTCATGCCACACTCCTGCCACCTGATTACTCCCAGCAGGTTCTCAAAGGTGATAGCTCAGAGGGATCAGGTCCTGTCCCTTTACTGCAACTCCTTCAGAGACAGCTTATCCATCACTGCACAGAGGACTCCACACTTGGCTTGTGACCAGGATGAGCTGAATCCCCTCCAGTCTTTTCAACAACTCAAGGATCAATGTAGATTACACTTGGTGGGGGCGGTGTCCTCCCATCCACAGAAGTTCAGGAAGTCGTTTGGCTATTATTATCAGCAATAAAGAGGTGACGGTGTCCCCGTACCCAAGAGTCACTTCAGCAGTGAAGAGTAAGCATCCCTGAGTCTAGAGGGTATCCTGGCTTCCTCAGGAGCTGCCCAGGACTTGATCGATGAGGACACGCAGGGTGGGCCACACACAGGTGGCAGAGGTGACCGAGGATCGAGGTGTTCTGTCTAGTTGGAGGCATCAGGTGAGTGCTAGGTGCCAAGATCCAGGCAGTCCGGTGGAAGCCTAGAAAGAAGGCGCCCCTGGAGAAGAATGATCACTGCTGGGCTGAGATCCACCAGAGGGAAGATTTGGGGTTCCAATCCTCCAGCTGAGAGCAAGGTACAGACTGCAAGTGCCTGACTCACAGTGCTCTGCGTGGGGACGTGCCCCGTGGTTGCATTCCATTTATGGCTGTTTTGTTCCTTAAAATATTTGTAGTCATAAATAAATAACCAGTGTAAACAAAAGGCAATTGTGTGGTTCTTTCCCATGAGGTGCAGTTGAGGCTTTTAGGCCCCTGATAGGAAGCCTGAGGGCACCTAGTCCACAGGACAGACGGTTGAGGGGACCAGTGTGGCAGCCAGGAAGGGGCCACTACTGCCTGTTGTCTTTGGACACGTTGTGTGCTAGCCAGTTCACTTTAGTCTTCCAGCTCTCCCGCAGGGCTTCATTGAACTTAACCCGGAAGTGCTCAGTGTCTCCTCTGTTTTCCCCAGTGCCAGGGAGTCCTGAGACAGAATAGTCAAGGTAGGGTCATATTCTAGGGAGCCCTGTCCCTGCTCCATCATGCAAACCTATCTGCCTGCCTATTCTGCTCCCTTGGGGTATTTGAAATTCCCTGAAAAACTACTGCTGAAAGGAATTAGGAGAGAGGTGAGCAACTCCCTCAAGGAAGCTCCCAAACCCAGACCGGTCCCTTGCCCCCCTCGGCCCCCACTGATTCAGTTGCCAAAGGTGTCCTGGCCTGAAGCTCTGAACAGGAGGAAGAGCAGCTTCAGGATGCCCAAGCAGGGTCTGTGCCCATCCTCCCACCCCAAACTGAAGACATGGAACGAAAACCACTTTGGGAGATGTAGATGGAAACCATCCCAAACAGCCCTTGGTGTGCACTTGAAAGGCACGAGGGAGGGGCTAACCAAGGAAGGTCACAATGCATCTGCGACTGAGCAGGACTAAATCCAGCTAGTTGGCCAAACCAGCCACTTGGCACCAGATCCCACTGCTGGGGTCTGGAATTGGCATGAGGACCTTGTCAGTTTTCAGTGCTCCTGGACTGCGCATTGGCGCAGGGCCCCTCTTAGTTTGCACGTGTTCTGACAGGCTTCGGGAAGTAAGGTCATCCCTGTCACCACCTTCCCAGTGTAATCCTGCTCTGGCCTACCTTGAGGTACTGGATGTCTTGGGCAGCTGAGCTCAGGCAGGCCTGCTGCCCGCATTAGGGCAAAGAGGTGAGAAGGGCCATGGCGCCGTAGGATGGTGTAGGCTCTTTCACAGTAGCCCAAACCTGCAGTGGTGGGACAGGGCAGGTGAGGCCTACATCCTGCCTGCCACTCCAGCCCAAGCCAGCGAGGCCAGTGAGGCCAGTGAGGCAGTCCATCCCATCAGCAGCTTCCCAGAGAGGCTCCTGCACAAGCCTCCAGTTCCTCTGACAGCCCCAACCCAGCCTGCCTCCTCCACAACCCAGACCCTCCTCCCACCTGTCCTAAGACATCATCCAGGGTTGAGGGCTTAATGAGAAGCAGTGACACTTCCAATCCAGCAGTCTAGGGCTGGGACCAGGAATGGGACTGTGGGCAGAGTCCTGTCCTGTCCCCTGCCTGGAAACCTCTGTCCCTCACCTTTCAAATTTCTCACTGTTATTAGTCTTCCTTGCTGAATACATGGACAAAGTCGTAGGTGAGAATGAAGGGACTCGCTCACGGTTGATTCCAAACTTGGTCTTGAAATTCCCAAGAAAGTGGCCAAAATCAATGTGGAACAGCTGAGGGGAGGGAAGGGTACAGCTGAAAAGATCAGAAAGTGGGAGTGGGAGCAGTTTGGTTGTAGAGCACTTGTCTAGCGTGCAAGAGATACTGGATTGCATCCCAGCACCTCAGGGAGGAGGAAAAATATGGCAGAGAAAGAAGACTGCCTCCATCTGGGGCTCCCTCGGGAGATAGGGAAACCAGTGGGGCTCAGGGAACTCATCCAGGAAGTGTGGGGCAGAGGAGCCACAGGCTAGGACTGGCCCAAGGGCAGTAGCGCACACTGCACCCTACCTGCCCACTCTCACGGATCATGATGTTGTCACTGTGCCGGTCACCGATGCCCAGCACATAGGTGGCCACACAGTAGCCAGCACGGAGAGGTGAACTCTTCGATAGCTCGATCCAGGGCCCTGGGTGGGAAGATTGAAACCATGGCCACACCATTGTGCAGCTGCTTCCCCAGAGGTGGAGTCTG